AGGAAGAAAATTAACTGTATCCCAGCCGAAACCAGGACATCATGTGTTTGTTTAAAGTGTTAAATCAGTTGTGTCAGAGTCCCAGCTTGAAGTAATTTGAAGCCTGGTATGACCTGATCATCCTCTTGGGACAATTTGGCTTGTTTTGCATTATAGAGTGGGGCACTCTGAACTTTTTTCCATACAGTCTTGGCTCTAAGGGTTCCACAAAGCACAGGGTTTTTTTTCATTGGTTTTGGGGTTTTTTTTGCAGCTGGCCTTAATCAAGATTGGTACGTTGTTTGGCCTATGCAGGGTGCAACATGAGAGGGGGATTGTAACTGATAAGAACACAAGCATAACTGGTCTGGAGTTGGAGGAGGGTGTGCATATAGAGAAGGGATGTTACTTGTGAAACAAGCTGTCAGTAAAGCTGTTCTTAGCTCAGTGCCCTGCTTCCTCTCAATATTACTTTATAACCTGTAAGAAAATAACATGGTGGTGTAGCAAAATTTTAAAAAGGTTGGGAGATACTACTGTCATCCCTGTGCTGATTTTTTAAACTTATTTTGATTTCTCTTAAAACTGGCTAGATTTTACATTGCTTCTTGATTACTATGCCTGGATAATGTAGGATTGCTATGGTCAAGTAGTAAAATCTAGGGTAATTTTGCATTTGAAAAATGACTACATAATGGTCTGGTCTGGCTTTTGTATCCCCTTCTAGTGGCTTCATGTTTGCTGTATGGGTAATGCATGTATCTTTAAAATACTACAGCTGGAATAATGTTCTGAATCTTGAACTTCTTGACTATTTTTCTGCATTCTCACTAGTAATAAAGATTCCAGTGTTACATATGTGGTTCTGTCTCCATGGCAGTTGTACAAAAGAAGCTAAGTGCAGAACTTCTCCCTGAATTTTTAACTTAACGCTTCACATGTCTGCCGATTGCATCTAGCTTGGTCCCCAGTAGAAATTCTGATAACTTTATCAAAATAATAAAATAAGTGAAAATATTTTTGAATAAAAGGGAGAACTTCTGTTGAGGAGAAAAACTACCATTTTTAAATCTCCTTCAGAGTAAAAACTCACTTCCAGAATTCTTCCACTGTATATGCTTGATATTGCATATTGATATTTGGTTTGGTTTTTTTAGACAAAAGTGTGTTATGAGAACTTCTAATGATAACTCATTTTCTTTCAGACGCTACTTCAGTATGCTGGCAGTCGGGGTGCATCGGAACATATTTTACCTTTTTTGGAAGTATATCGAATCTCCATCCAAAGCTTTGCTAATGCACGACCTTACTTGACTACAGAATGTGAAGATGTTCTTTTGGTACTTGGCAGGCTAGTGCTGTAAGTTTTAAGTTGGTACATTAATATTTAAAAAAAACCCGTGTACTTTATAAATGAAAGGGCAAGTTGTTGAAATAGTGTAATGCTCAATTTGACAACTGTACTTACAATTTATTATCTAGTAAATGTCTTTAGTACTTTTTTAATCATACCACAAAAATGTACTTGATCATTTTGTTAATTAATGTGAACAAGTGGTCAGGCTTTGTTCTTCTGCATTTGGATAGTCATACAGGTATTAGGAAGATTCTGTTCTTTCTTAAGTATTCTGAAAATTATTTTCTGTAGAAAAAGCTTGGTGTGGTCCTCATTAAACAGAAGCTTTAATAGACATTCATGCATGGATTAATAAACCTGTATCACCTGCTCTGCAACTGCTGCTTTAGTGTGTTCTCTCACCTGTAATGCAAGGTACTTCTGAACACGACCCTTTCTCAAAAGGATAAGGTGTTTTGTACTTATGGCAATATAAATTGTGCATGTGGGCTGTTGCTATAGGGTAGCAAAACAGAGCAGTTCAACCTGAGCTCTTTGACAAGTGTCTGTAGACATGACTTAAAGCACAGCAATTCTTCAAACAAAAGAGAGAACTACTTTACAGTCCATCAGGTCAGTTGGAATAATTTGTAGTTCCTCTAAGTCTATTTTAAGTGCAAAGCAGGTATTTGTAATTGAAGAGTGTAGCCTGAGGGCTTTCACATACATTGGAGTGTAATCAGTTACTACCCTTAGCCCTAGAAGGATAACTTGATGCCCTGGCCATTTCTTGCTGGTAAGGTTTCATTCGAGGGGGGAGGGTAAAGATCTAGAAGCTCGAATATAAAGATCATCACAGAATAGAAGTAATTCTGTGACAGTTTTTCAATGGGCTATTTTTTCTTTGTTATCAGTAGCTTGCTTGCTTTGTGGTCTGAAGTCAAGTGTTCTTTTTGAGAAGGATTTTCCAGTGAACTCCTTGGTCAGATGCTATTTTTTGTAATGTACTAATTTGCAATATAAATCAACAGCTCAGAACCAGATATCTCCATATGATGCCTTGAATTTTTTTTTTAAGTTATGAGAAATATGTGAACTAGGAGTGATTTTTTTCTTTTTTTTTTTAACCTTCTGTCAAGAAGGGAAAAAGTGTGAAATTGGGAAAAGTCTGTCAACTTCTTAATATGAAAACTGAAGACTTAAACTGCTAAATCATTTACCTGGTACATAAGATATTTTGCCAAAAATGTATGTATTAATTGTTTTTGCAGACTGTCCCTTTATGGATAGAGTAGTCTCATCTTCATGGTATTATCATTAATTAGCTTGTGTATTCTGCTGTTTCCTACTCATGTGACTTAGTTTGTCTTTGTATGCAGGTCATCCATACCTGGAGTACTTTCTATATATTTTGCCACTGTTTTGTACTTTGGGGTGGGAATCCCAATTCTGTGCCAAAATTGCTTATCAAAATTGCTTTTCCCTTGTTGAGAAAAATCAGAATATTCTGCTTCTGCTAATACGGTTTTTTCCATCTTTCAGTGTGAGGAGTTTGCTGTTGCTTGTATATTCAGAAAACTTTGTGGAGGACAGTAGAGAGGCTGACTTGCTGGAGTCACCCTTGTTCTTGTTATGATTACATTTGAGAGGAATCTAAAGAATGAGAAAGACAACGAGTGAGGTCGCAGATAGGGTGAGGTAAATGGCATACCTAACTGAACTCTCCCATGTTTTTCTTTTGTGTAAGAGTTTCCAAGGGAGGGAGAGAGAAGTTAGAGCAGGGAATTAAAGATAAAAAATAAGTTCTGTGAGGGAGGAAGACTATTACCTGGTTAGGGATGTGAAAGTGTGCTGTTCCCATGTAACTGTGATTTTTGGGGAGACAATTCGGTTACCCGCAGCTGTCCTACATGCTGTGTATTTTCAGACTTGAACCCTAATGAGAAATGAAATGAGCAAGCTTCCTGTTTTAAAGCAAAAGTGCTCTAGTTACTATTGAAATCCTCCTTCCCTTCCAATGTTCCTCCTGGAGAAGGGGGAAAGAACTTCCTCCTGACATCCTTCTCAGCAGGGTGAACCAGTAACAGCAAACCTCAGTATACTGTGGCTTTCCCTGCCATCTGACCAGGTCAACTGTGTGTTCACAGTAAATCTGACATGACTTAGGGGCTGTGCCCTCCCATAAGAAACATGATGCTGATGCAGTGTGAGACCTTGTTGGTCCACTGTCTAACCTTAGGAAATAAAAGGAAAGCTTGGAGTTACAGATATGTACAGATATGTCTTGTAGTTTACAGATACGGCAAATGATTGTGGGGGAATGGGAATGTTCTTCTCGGCTGTGGCTGTGAAGGGACATACCTGCTTTTGTCTAATAGAACTCAGACTGCTTGTTTCCACAGCCACAAAGCACAACGGCTTCCCCTTACCCCACAATATCACTGTACCAAAGGAATTGCCTTTATACAAGAATTAATAAAGAATTAGCCATATCAAAGGTGTCTTTCACCGAGATTTGGTTCGTTGGCTATCCTCGTGAATCTTAGGAAGATTTTGAAGCTCTTCATTCACATGAGCTTCTGTGAGTGCTTTTTTTCTGAGGATACTGTGTGAGGGGGAAGGTGCCATTCATGTTACCATAAGTATTAAAATTTTACTTCCATCTGAAAATGGTTTATATGGTCCTAAGACTAATAGATTAAAGTTAAAAATATAGAAAGAATTGTTCCTAGTTCACATTGTGTTTGCCAGTAGCTAATATTTGACTGCTTTCTACTTTTTCCTGTTTGCTGTGATGGCACTGGTCTGAAAGGGAGTTTACCATTTCTACATCTTCGAGAAGGTGTTTATATGCTTTTTCAACTGTAAAAAGAGAAGGGAGGTCTGAATGTCATCTGGTCTAAGTAGCAAATCTGGATTCAACTGATGAGACCAGTCTACCTCAAACTTCTTGAGCTGTATCTCACGTACTGGTTGTACCTACTGAGTCTAACACATGTTGCTTCCAGGAAGAGTGTGCTTGCTTTCCATTACACTGCTGTGAGTAGGCATGTGTGACGGTTTGCTGATTTCTCTAGCTAACAAAGCATTTCTCAACCTAATAAACTGTTGTAATTTGATCCACTAACTTGCATTTACTATTCTGCTGTCTATCATTAAGAGCTAACTCAGCTCTTAACAAATGCAGGATAATTCCTGGCAACAGGTGAACTATTCC